CAATAAAAGGAACTCTCTGATCCACAGCAAACAGATCAATAATAAAATTGTTGGAAAAGAGACTTTAGTTAAACATTGAGAAAAGCATTTTAACAGCACAGCTAAAGATGCACTAGAATAGACTATGAAGGAAGGAGTTATTTTGTAATGACTAGTGTCAACGCAATAGCTTAACTGGAAAATTAATCAAACTCCTTTCTCTGTCTTGTGTCCTCTTCACTTACACTGCTCTCCCCATCCCACACCTTTTAGCCAATTTCCTTTTGAACAGAGGAAAAAAAAGTTGCCTTACTGAATTTTTACTGCAGACTGGCCTTGAAGGCAGCCACAGTACTAGCACTACAGCTGTCTAGTGCTGCCTGGTGCATTTAGCGCTGGACATTGCTAATAACATGGAAGGTTATGCATAGTTTCCATGCTAACATTCAATTTTTTTTTTTATCTACAATCAGATAGAGGCAACTGATGTAGGTGTTGATTATTCATGTATCTCGAAAATGAAGCAAATCAGGCAAAAACAAATTGTTAGTTTAAGTTTCCTGTTTCTCATGTAAGAGTTCTAAAAGAAGATAATTTATGAAGCAAAATTCCATTGTCAGCACATAAATGTTTTCTCCTTTCCCTCATATAATGAAACACCAATTGGGAAAGAGCATATGCTGCTCTAATAATTGCATGGACTCATGTTGCTGGAAACCTGCATCTTTTCCTCCTCAGACCAAACTTTTTCAACATGCATTACCACATTGGTATGCTGTATTTCTCATTCACACATTTTAACCTTAACATATAAACTACCTTGATAGATTTTGGCATTTAGTGGATCTGAAAGTAAGGTTTTAGTTTTCATTTGCTGTACAAAACCCTGAATTCTAGTAGGCAGGGACAGTTACATAACTGCACTTCAAAGCAGTCTGCATAAAAAAAAAAAAAAAGCTTTTAAAAATCAACATCTTTGCCTTCAGCAATCACACTCCAGTGACTCATTCAAGTGACCTTATTTGCTTACCAGAAGCTCTAGGTGCAGGTTGCAAATGTCACAGTGTCTGAATTCTCTTTTTTTGAGTACATCTTTGCAGCATTTTTCTAAGACTATTTGTGAGATTTCAGGTTACGTGTAGCTATTTACTTATCTACAGCTGGGTCTTCAAACATATTTATTCACCCTGAACCCATGACAACAATAAATGTAATACTACTTGTTATTCATTCACTCAAGCTTTTAAATGTCATATATGATATGACATGTTATGCCATACAAAAATGGTAACACCTGTAAAGAAGCATCCACTTCATCCTACATGTACACCTACATGCTTTACTAGAATTTGCGAGAATAGAGGTACACTATTAAAGACGTGCATTGCTCAAAATTTATGGATTTACATACTCAAGTATAAAAACAAGGTCTCAGTATTTGAATGCCTTGCACTGGACTTCATCATCTAGACAGATGGCAGATGATGTGGCAGAATCACATGATAGGTAGAAAGTAGCAACTCATTTTCAGGGGAATTTCACAAGACAATAAACAACACGGTGATGGTAAACTCATGTATAAAAATGGACTCCAAACCCTAAGCTGTGACAGTTCATATGTTTTTGACCTGGCTGGTTGTTCAGAAGGACACTTTATATACCAAGTGGAACAATGAGGACTGAAATGTGCCAAGAGCCTACCAGTCCTACCAGTAAAGAACAGCTAAAGAAGAATTAAATCTTCAAGGAGATCAAAACAGAGGAATACCTGAAAATATGTAGGCCAGAAAGGCAACAAGCTCTGTATATCTTAATATATCTGACAACCTATGTGAGAAAGTGTTTAAGTCAACAATTTAAAGATGTACTATATATACATATATATGATATAATGATGTTACTATAAAATACTAATATTGCAAACTCATCCACTTATATGCAAACTCAAATTAACTAGTCTATAATCTAGTATGCTGAATAATCTAGTCTGCTGAAACAAATTTAAATCCAGATATGGACTACTGCAAGGATGTCCATTTCTCACAATTTTCAGTATCATTCAGTTAAGCTTTCTAGTAAATAAATAAGTGTATTATAGTACTTTACTCTTTATGCTAATTCAGTAATTGCCTCTCTTTGAGTGTAAAAACAACTGACTATTGACTTCTCCAAAGAAAGTAGTAACAAACTCATGTTTAAGAGCTTCTGCTTTGTGTTTAAGTTCCATATGGAGAGAAAAGAATTACTTTAAAAACGGGAAAAAAATGCTCTGAAGATTTCACATAACATATGTCAACATCTCCTATTTACATAAAACATTTTCTACAATTTAACTGTAAAATGTTCCATTACAAATCTGGACACAAAATTTATGGCTGTTATGGCAGGACATGAGTTAGAAAGAAAACTCTTCGTCATTAGAATACCCCCAATGCATTTAAAGAAAATAGATACTGAAAAGTGTGTTGGGTATGTGCAGCAAAGAAGAAAAGGTGGTGAAAGCAGGCAAAATGAAAGTAAATAAAGCAAAAGGGAAGCAGTTACCAACTGTTACCACTGGAAAATGTTTCATCTAAAAACTGACATTAAAGACAGTTTTGCAGTGGTTTCTATACTATGTATGTTTGACTACTATAAAACTTTTAGCTGTAAGAAATAAGCTGCATTTCTCATTGTCTGTAAGCTGATGCAAAGTACTGTTCAAGCAGCTCTTCTTGATTAATAGTTTAGAAATCTCAACCAAGGAAGTTTAATGCCAAAAATGAATCTAATAAAATATTTTACATCTTTTCTGGCTATATGGAATACAAGGTGGACTCCCCATTGATTTGCTTAGTTGATAAAATACTTCATAACCTTGACTTTCAGTTCCAAAAATAAAACTGAATCCCTCGAAGTGCCAAAACATGAGGCATTCTATCTTCATCTACACTTTGAAAATCATGTTGTCCTTTTCTTTAGCACTGCCTCACTTTCACCAGTCTTGGAAAGGTTAGAGCAATAGTGCAGACTAGACACCATTAGTCAATTTGAGCAGTTAACAAGTACATAGTAAGTACAGCTACATATCTAATAAGTACATCCAAAACTGGACCACACTCCACCCACGTGTAAACTTTTGCCTTTTGTTCTTGCAATTTTAGAATTTATGAGCAGGATAAAAAAAACTAAGGGCTCTTCTACCTGAATAGAATTATAAAGATCATGTATTGATTGCTCACCTGGGAAAACTGGGAAACAACATTAGTTACTCTTGCACCACATGTTGTGGAATTCATACAGCTACAAGTTTGCTGTCAGTTAGGACTATCCATAGAGTTAGCTACCACGGCTCAGTAGAAGTTTGAGGGTCTGAGGTAACCAGCTTCTGACTTCTAGGTGTTTCAGAGAAGTATTTCCCTCCCTGTATCTTCTCAGTTCTAATGCCAATATATTAGATATGTCAAGTTCATCTGAGATGAGGTCTCCTGAAAATGGGTGCTTACGCATGACATATCCCAGACCAACTACTACTAAGATCTCAGCAGTTCTTTAATATGCTCAGTGGCAGTTCCCCAACTATACACTTTCCTTGCATTAGAAGTAAGCTTTTACACAGAAAAATGGAACGACAGAGCACTTCTGTCTTCATCTTAAGCTACTGTTACATGCTCTTATGAGTAAAAATAAACATAAAAGATCTAAAACATCTTCAACATCTACCACTAAGTGATTATCAAACACTTTCTAGTGAGTTTATGGCTACATGTAAAAATGAAATAAATCAGTGTTGTCTGTCCTTCCAGGCAAGATACTATGCAGAAACCTGTTTCAACATCTCGAGTGAACTATCAACACACCAACTTAATGAAATTCACCTGGGCCTTCAATGGCAAAGTAAAGCCAGTGAGGGGAAAAAAAAAAAAAAAAAAAAACGGTTTGAGGATTGTTTCAGAACAGATACTACAGAATAACCTCAGCTGACATAGAAGTAACACATACAGGATTCTATACACACAGTAAGTGTCAAATTTATAAGGAGCAAGGAGATCTGGCATTTTTTAAATAGATTCATGAAAGGTGTTTGAAATTACTGGAAAATTGAGAGCACTACTCATTAATTTAGTCAATGGAGTGGTCATGAACATACGTCAATAAATATAAAGAAGTATATTTTGGATTGAAGTTTAATGGCATAAGTATCAGAACAAGAAAGTAATGCTAAATATTTTATTATATTCTGTCCTTAACATTGAATTTATATATTTTCTTGAAGTATTTCTTAAGGCAGATAAAATGCAGTAGCATTAGCCTAAACAGGTGGATAGATGAGGTCTATGACCATAAGACATGCAGTCTATGACTGGCACGCCTTATAGAAAAAAAATTAACATTTTACTACTCCAATGTCTTTTATATCATCTTTTCCAGGAGTTCCAGTAACACTGTACGGTTAGCACAGAAAAAACACTGAACAAGGTGAGTTTCAGCTAACATTTGCAAATCATGAAACCACTGTTAAGGTCCCGAGACACTGCAGGTATAAGCAGTTAGGCTCATAAATTACAGTAATGCTTTGCTGCCCCAAACTAAAGAAACTGAAATAAGGCAAAGTTACCTTCTGCTGAATGCTAATGTTAATGAATAAAAAGAAGGAAGAAGGCCAAAAGGTTAGGATTATCAGTGCATTAAGCTGATGCAGCAAAATTCATTACACTGCATTAGTTAAAGCACCTGAAACAAACTGAATTTAGTCAAGTAAAGCAAATACCTTAAGCAAGGCCAATCTTTTCATTTTTTTTTCAAACTCTCTCAATGCTAAAGTTTTGGGAGACAAACACACACACAAGTCAATTACTGAAGATTAAATATTTATTCCTTTAAAATTTAATTACTAACCATTGAAGAACGATGGTACTGATGACAAAAAAGCTGTTACTTACCTTTTAATTAAAGTTTGCATTAATTTAGAAAACAGATTTTTTTTTAAAAAAAAAAAAAAGTAACTTTGAACTTTTAACATATGAGACCATAAAGGATATTTTCCTGGAATTTCAACACCAACTCTGTAGTCCACATAACTTTGATATGGATGGAAGTTGAAAATGAAAATGAGACTGGCCCTCTCGAATGCAATGACCTTGTTAGATTCATGCTTTTCAGTCACAAAAGCCTAGGAAGAAAGTTTTTTTCAACAATATAAAATAGTACCTGATTTTTAACTAAATTGACAAAAATAAGAAAATACACTGCTGTTATACCTCCGTTCAACTTAAAACAGGCTGTTGAAGATGAAAACAATATTACAAATACTGGAGTTAAGCTCACAACAGACAAGCTAAGGATCTCTTGTATTTTAGTGATTACTTAATCTTTTATTACTTAACCATTTGTATTACTTAACTACATCCTTAAATTTTAGAGGTGAACATAAATTTTAAAAACAAAAGCGAGCTAGAGATAGGCACTTGCGAACTTCTTAATTGTTAAAATTTAGTAACATATGGTCATTGCATCACACTTTTCTTTAGCAAAGGAAGTGCCCTTTTAATCAAACCAAATTGTCAATAGGTTTCTTATATTGATCAGCATTACTATGATTGTTAGTAATATAAAAAATGAAGCACCAGATGTGCTTTATTTTAATTGGTATATGAGAAATGACCTTGACAAACCCTATTAAACATTTATTATTTGTAGCAAACTGCCGCACATATACCATCTTTATTTTAAAGGTAATGGTCACAACCTGAAGCACCGAAAGTTCCACAGGAACTTAAGGAAATCTTTCTTAACAGTGAGGGTGACAGAGCACTGGAACAGGCTGCCCAGAGAGGTTGTGGAGTCTCCTTCTCTGGAGATCTTCAAAACCCGCTTGGATGCCACCCTGTGCCACGTGCTCTAGGTGACCCTGCGTGTGCAGGGGGGTTGGACTAGATGATCTCTAGAGGTCCCTTCCAACCTTAACCATTCTGGGATTCTATTTTCTAAAACCATAAATAAGTGAGCATTTTAAACAATCCTTTGAAGTGAATTACGATTACAGCATTACATAATTCTTTATATGTAAAAAAGTTATCAACTAACTGAAAACATTAAAGTCTGAGAATAACTGTCTGTAATAACTGATGATTCACTTTAATAAAAAGTATAGTACAATATTCAGATAAATAAGGCAAATCCATAAGTGACATGTTAAATATCAGGACACTATAACATACGCTATACTGTACAAAAAGTTTCATCAGTAATAATTATTTATACAAAGTAAATTGTCAGAAGAATATATACTTTTCCCAAATAATCCTTAGACGGGATTATAGACAAAGTTTTATAGTCTGCTTTAACCAATCTGCAGTTACTAAATAAAAATAGCAAAAATAATAGGAGAAAAAAGCTTGCTGTGAAGTTAAAAGGATACTATTTTAGATTTTACTCTGTAGAAGATATTTCAGTGACATGTTTTGACAACTTGAAATATACGGTGGGGCATTACGCAGTGCATAATAAAGTGCTGCTTAAAATTTCTGCATGCAAATTTTGTATTATTGTTATTCTGCACACATACACTACTGGTATCTAAAAACTTAACACTTAGTGTACATAGCTTACCGGGGGAGATGCAAGCCAGCCAAATCTTTCCTCCAATTTATTCATATCTTTGTCAAATGCATTCAGGAATCTATAGCGAAGAAGATGATCTTCAGTTAGATTAAATTGTCTTCTGGCATAGTGGTAGCTCTCATTATTCCCTTTTCTGGGAAAGTCAAGCCATTCTGGATGCCCAAATTCATTACCTGTATTTAAAAATATTAATTAGGGATCCATGAGAACACAATCTGAAAAGACTTTAAAAAAAAAAGTAATTAAAATTGATTTCTTTCTAAAATTTTTAAATTCCTTACGTAAAATGATCCTTTTACTACTAAAATTTTTCTCAGAACGTTTGTATTTAAGAGGTTTGATTGGCAGTGAAATTGCCAAAACAAAATATCCATAAACTTCTGTAAAAGTAAAGATCGGGTTTCAACCTCTACGCTATCATTTAATGCATAAATATTCCTAACTTCCATCCCTTAATCAGGGCAGCAAAAATTCAGGATATAAATTTTAGAGTCACTATGATGCTTAAACACAACACCTTAACAATATAAGCCCATTGTCTGAGAGCACTGAAGAGGGAAACAAATGAACAAACAAACAAAAAACACTATTAAATGAATTAAATGAAAATTATAAGAAGCGAGAGAGAGAGAGAGACTTGAAACCATTCCTCAACTTCCAGGAAACATTCAGGAAGCATTCATTTGCTGAAGATAGAAAACTGGGAGAAGTGGCTTGTACATCCGAGGGCTGTGCTGCCATCCAGAGGGACCTCAACAGACCAGAGAAGTGGGTGGAAAGGAATCTAATGGAGAAATAACCCCATGCAGGCTGGGGGCTCTTCTCCCAGAGGGCGGCTCTGCGGAGACAGACCAGGGAGTCCTGGTGGTCAAGCTGACTATGAACCAACAAATTACCCTTGTGGCCAAGATGGCCAATGGGATTCCAGGTTGCGTTAGGAAGAACATTGCCAGCAAGCACAAGGAAGGTGATCCTTCCCCTGCACTCAGTCCTGGTGAGGCTGCCATCTGGTGAGGATGCTTCCAGTCCTGGGCTTCCCAGTACCAGAGAGACATGGAACTACTGGCATGAGTCCAGCAGAGGACTACAAAGATGATGAAGGGCCTGGGGCATCTCTCCTGTGAGGAGAGTCTGAGGGACCTGGGACAGATCAGCCTGGACAAGAGAAGGCTGAGAGGGGATCTTAACACATATAAGTATCTGATAGGAGGGTGCAAATAGGATGGGGCCAAATTCTGTTCAGTGGAGCCTAGTAACAGGATGAGAGGCAATGGGCACAAACAGAAACACAAGAAACTCCCTCTGAACATGAGGGAGAGCAACAACAAGCACATATGCTTTACTTTTCCATGATGGTAACGGAGGTTGCCCAGAGAGGGTTGTGAAGTCTCCGTCCTTGGAGATAATTCAAAAGCACTCTGGACACAATCCTTGCAAACATGCTCTAGGTGACCCTGCCGCATCAGGAGTAATTTGGACTAGACGAGCTCCAGAGATCTTTTCCAACCTCAACTAGGATTAGGGAACAAGAGCAATTAAGTAGCCGACTAGACTATACGCAATGAACCACAACGTGTAATAATGATGCATTCAGTCTTTAAGAGGCTTTAAACGGAGCGCAGCTAGGGATAATTCCACAAGCGGCTTTAGCATAAACTGCAGTTTTGCAGTACGTGAAGGACAGCAAGAGGGAGAGAATGAAGATGGTGTTTCCTGGATGGAGAGGCTGCGTGTGGAGCTGCTATCTGCTACCTCACATAGCAGTGCTACCTGGAAGGCCCAGAGGAGATGGTCAGCAGTGACAGCTACGAATTTAGATATTCAAAGAGATTTTTTGTGAATTTCAGAGGAATAAAGAAATGAACAAAGAACAAAAGAAATAAGCTGCAGTTATATTTAGGAGAATCTTTTACAATGGCATCCACTTTGTAAACAATCTGACAAGTTGTAAATTAAATTTCATGTTCAGAAGCTAAACCATTAAATTTCACATTCTGTTCAAAGCCACAGACACATATAAAAGAATCAGAGTCACAGCAGGACTTTGAAAATGACCTTGGAATAATGCTGGACTGAGCTCTTAAGTGTGCTAACAAGATGGTGCAGAAAATGAGGAAAGATATTGCTACAGAACAGAAACTGTATCTAGCCATACTCAATATTCTCTTAAGATCTGAGCAAGGTATTATCTTCTTCTGTGATCTGTGCACTATTGAAAGAGATGGACTACATGAGACAGCTCAGATAACAATAAAACATAAAGTTGAAGATTATATGCATACTGAAAAGATAGCCAAGAAAATCATACCTAGTGATTCAAGAAAAATATAAAAGCGGAGGAAATAAGCAATAAAAGACAGTGAATAAATTAAAGTAGCACATAATTTGAGCAGATCATTTCACCAGAAGCAGAGCACTCCTTATACTGTACACCTGTATACCATCTTACCTCTTTCCTCTAAGCAATAGCTAGAGCTGTTTGAATGCTTATTAAAAAAAAAAAGCAGTAAAAAAATAAAATAAATAAAATAAAGAACAGTTATGGGATATAAATAATAATAATTTAACACAGTGCAGGAATTGAATAAAAGAGTAAATTATTTGCTCATATCAGAAAAGCGTATTCAAGTTCTAAGCACTTAAACCTTACTTTTTTTTTTTTTTTTTTTCTCTTTCCTCTTTTCTACTTAACTTCCAGGCAACATACCTGCAAGGCACTTATGTTTGCAATGTTAAAAATGACAGGGGAGGACTTAAGAAAGAAACCAAAGTTCCAAAGTTAAGACAGAGAAAACTCTAGTAGGCTTTTTGCTTTTGGTCTTAAAGCATAGCATAGGGAAAGTGAGCAAACATCTAGGATGCGAGCAGGCCTTGTGATAGACTGTAAAGAGCATTTTGGTACTTGAGAAGAGCATCAAAGCTACGCATCCTTAACAAAAAATACGTGTCTCACTATACATTGCCCAACACTCATTGTCCTGTGCTAGTTTATAAAATAAATATAAAATCACTGCTTTTTCTTAGGCTAACTTCAAAATGAATGAGGAGGGGATAGGAAAGAGGAGGTGACTATGACACTTGTGGAACAATTAATGGCATATGTAAAGTACATGCTATCCTCTTGCCCATGTTTCGCTTCTTTTTGACAAGAATCAGCAACATCCACTCCTGGATAACTGAGAAAACATCTAAGCACAGGAATTCTATGGGGACTTCTTTTCCTGTAATTAATTTGCTGTTGGATGTAAAGGTCCAAACTGCAGACTGAGAAGAAGCCAGCTGGTACAAATGATGCAAATCAGGACAATGGAACTAATGCGGGGGAGGCAGAGAACAAAGAGGAAATTAACTGAAATTTTGATTTGAAAAACAAAGCAAAGACAAACCATTGCAGCGCAATGCATACTAATTTTATCTAGGACGTATTCAAGTTTGCTACCTGCTGTATGTGACATATACAGCACTTGCTGTATGTGACATATACAGCACTTGCTGTATGTGACATATACAGCACTTGCTGTATGTGACATATATTTTGCTGTGCACAAGATTGAGATCACAATTCTAACAAATAAACACCCTACTTACTACAATGAAAATTTACATCACTATTGTTTGTAACAATAGAAATCCATTTACGTCACAGAAGTACTCACACAGCTGATGATTATTTTGCAGCTGAACCCCTCAAGTTATTAAAATGTTGTTGATTTCTCTTTTCCAGACATCTACACTAACAATTCTCTCTTACAGAATCAGGCTAAACAGAAAACTGAAGGCAATTTTAAAAGACGCAGGCAGCTAAGAAATGCTAAGTTTTTATTTTTGTATTTTGCTTTCTGTGTTTTTTATATATATATATATATATATATATATATATATATATATATATATAACTGAAGATGTATAAAATATTGTCAGAACAAAATAGGTGAGGAATGTATTTGCTATGCCACAAAAAAGTAAGAAGTTTATTTAGGTGCTTAAGGTTGGACAAATTTAAAAAGGATCCAAAATGTTATAAATACTCATTTAAAGCACACAGACTTGGGACAGATTTTCAACTCATTTGCACATTTCAACTCAACATTTTTCCCTCAAAGAAAGTGGAGTTGCTCTGATTTACACAAACCAGATAATCAATCCATTCAGAAGCCATAATTGATTTGAATTTAATTTCACTGCCACTGTAAACAACGATGATAATGCACTGATCTGTAGAATAAAATACTGATTTGCTTTATTTTCTAAACAGAACCAAATCAGATCTAAATTGCACACTATATTCATCACTTCTCAAAAAATAAGCGTTTCAAAAGATTAATCCTCATTTTTCCTTGTTGCAAAGCTCTGCAGTACCAATCAATTCTCATACTTTGTATTTCCTCATGTTTGTACCAAGTCTTCTTCAAAACCTTGCAATGCTCATACTGCCAAAAACAAAGAATGTCTACATAGCCTTTGATTACCAGGACTTGAACACTGATGTTCCTTCCTTCCTTGCTTGCATCTGTTCACCAAGTTAAATCACTTGGATTGAGGCGAGTCTGCAAGGACTGGATCTGTCTGCCAAAGCATGGGAAACAGGGCATGAAAATAGTCACACAAAATAAAATGACTATAAAATGAAGAACGAGCAACCAAGAATGTTCTAGTCCTCTAAAGAGTATGCTAGTTTTCAACAAAAATGGCTGAGGAATGGAAGAGGTAATGGTTAAAACTGCAAAACAGCTGGAGGCTGTGAGACTCCTTACACCGGAACCATTTCCAGGGATTCTGTATCTATAAGCTCTAGTCCTACACACCGTGCTGAAACAGAATCAAGTTACACAAGGAATATGACCCTGCTCCAATGCAGCTGGTTGGACTAGAGGAACACTGAAGTTCAGTATTTACAAGATTTTACAATGTAACTCTTGGCCCACAGTGTTTGGGCTTTGTTTTCCTACTTTCTTCAGTCCTCAGCTCTGTAATTACCATGAAATAATGAGACCTATGATAAATGTCTTGGTCTATGGTCTTTTGAACATGTGTATTACAGAAGTGCTAAGTAGATTTAAAGTTTAAAGCTATTTTTGATAAAATTTAAGCACACTTCTGCTCCTTTTCATTACTATTTGACAGTTTAAAATGAAATATTGTTTTCAGGTTTGTAGTATAAAAATAAATAACT